TCATCGAATCATACAATTAATACCTGTGCATTTCACTATGTGGATATTTTGTTTCAAGGGAAAAGAAAGACAAACCTGTAAGTAAATACTGGACTCTAGTTAATGACAGGCATGCTCAAGTTCTTAAGAGGGAATTACCCCATTGTCTGCAACTTATTTTGAAATGTATCAAGAAAATAAGCTAGATTGATAGATGGATGGATGAATTAGGAGATGTGATAAACAGATACGGTAAGATGTTATAGAATCTAGGTGGTGGGTGTATGGGTATCATCTGTATAATTCTTCCAACTTTGCTGCATGTCTGAAACTTTTTATGATAAAATATCGTGGCCGCGGGGGAAACCTAAGTCTGATCATGTGACTCCTCTGCTCGGATCCTTTCCATAGCTCATCTCACCCAGAATAAAAGTCCTGACAATGGCCTCCACGCAGGATGGCCATACATTTTGGTTATCACAGGTTCACCTGTTACCTGGGCATAATTATTAATACATCCTCTTTTATTCTCAAAGTTTGATTGACATATTATGTGCCTGCCGTGCCTATGAGGCCCTACATGACCTGACCTCGCTTCCCACTGCTCTCTCCCTGCCTCCCTCTGCCCGCCTGCCGCACTGATCTCATTTCCAGGCACACTCCCCCTCAGGGCCTTTGCACTGGCTATTCTCTTGGCCTGGAATGCTCTTCCTGGAGATATCTGTATGGCTCTCTTCCTCACTCCTTCAAGCTTTTCTTCAAATGTTTCCTCAGTAGGAGGATCTCCCTATTTAAAATTGCAATCTGCTCTTTTCCCATCTCCCTGACTCTATTTTTTTTTTTTAACCAGGTACTTATAACTTCCTACAGATGGTATAATTTATTGAAGGTATACTCCACGAAAGCAAAGATTTTTTCCATTTTGTTTATGCTTTATTCCTGGGGCCTAGAATAGTCCCTAGCAAACAGTTACGTGCACAATAAATACATGTTGCTACGAGTAAAGGAATTCTCCTGCCCTTGTTGAGCGGCAGTCTGGTGCCAAAGACCGAAGCCAACATAGACCATCACAAGGCAACTTCTGATGTTCCGTGAAATGGCAGAGGAGGAGGCAGGGGGCGTGACAACAGAAGTCACCAGGAAGCCAAGCTTGGAAAAAAAAAGAATGCATTCCCCCAGATGAAGGGAGGATAAGAGGGGCACTCCTGGCCGAGCAAACAGCATGAGCAAAACCCCACAGGTGAGAAACAGCGAGGTGCGATTATAAGCAGTTCTCAGGGGAGCAGTGCAGGGGTGGGGTGGAAGGGGCAGCGGGCAGCTCCATCCTGCCAGGAAGGAGGACAACGGCAGGGTTTTTGCCCAGGGCAGTATTGATGGGTTTCTGAGACTGCCCAGCTGCTGGGTGGAGAATGGACTGGGGGTGGGCAAGAGTGAAGCGGGAAACCCACCAGGAGGCACCTAGCAAAGAGGAGGGCCCTAAAGAAAGGGGCAGATGGGGGAATTACTCAGGATAGAGACTTGCTCATGGGACTCTGACTTCTGGATGCTCCAATCTGGGCCAACTCTGGGGGATTGAGGGGCCATTTCTGGGTACAGGCGATGGGAGGGACAGGTTGGGAGGGGGAGGAGGAGGCCGAGGGTCTGGGCATCCCAGGGGTCTTTGAGTCTAGAGGGAGGGTGCACCACTTGGATGCAGAGACTTGGGAGCCATTCATTCTAAGAATAGGTGGATCTGGCAAGGAGCGTTCATGAAGAGAAGAGCTAGGCCAGGACAAGAGATATTTAAGGGATCAGGAGGAGGAGAGAGTGACAGAGCAGAAGAGAATGGGGGAGCACCAGAGGCCAGGACCTTGAGAGCCAGGGGTGGAAGAATTTCCAAAAAGAGAGCGTGGACATTGGGAGGGGGTGGGAAGGGGGTTGGTAGGGAGGGCATGGTAAGGTGATGACTGGTGGGGGGGGGGGGTCGCCAAGGAAGAAGTGGATTTTAAACCAGGTCACAGAGTGGATCACAGAGCCGGAGGGGGCAGGCCTGGGAGTGGGGACAGACTGCTGGGGTCTGGGGCCAAGAGAGGGACAGGAATGGGGGTGACACAAACTTCAGCCTTTCAAGTGTGCTCAGAAATGGACTCTCCTCCCCAGTCTCACCAACAGGCAAGTCTCTGGCCTCTATCCCTACACCCTCATATCCTCATCTGGAAAACGGAATAATAGGAAAATGGCTGCCATTTATTGAGCACTCACTATGTGTCAAGCCAAGGACACTCTCTCCCCACGTACTTTCTCATCTAATCCTCACAACACTCTCACCAGGCTGATGTTAATATTATCCCCAGTTTACAGATGAGAAAACTGAGGCCCAGAGAGGTTAAGTCACTTGGCTCAAGGTCACAAGTGAACGAATGGAGATGCCGGTATTCAAACCCAGAGCCTGTTGTCTGGGCTTTCACACTGTACTACTAACCCATAGAAGGCACTCTGCACTTTACAGAGCACTCACCTCACCTCCTGCGGTGGCTGAGGGGACTAGTGAGAGGACCTCCACACCCAGAAAATGCTGAGATTATTACCACATGTAGTAGGCTGAATAATGGCCCTCTGAAGAGGCCCACGACCTAATCCCCGGAACCTGTGAATGTTATTTTACATGGCAAACGAGATTTTGCAGGTGTGATTATGTTAAGGGTCTTGAGAAGAGTCTCCTGCATCATCCACGTGGGCCCAATGCAGTCCCAGTGTCTTTAGAAGAGGGAGGCAGGGGAGGCAGAGCCAGAGATGTGATGATGGAAGAAAAGACAGAGATTGGAAGAAGCCATGCTGAAGACGGGGAGGGGAGGGGAGTGGTGGGGAAGGGAGGGAGAGGGGCCCAAGTCAAGGAATGTGGGTGGTGTGTAGAAGCTGGGAAAGGCTGGGAAACAGATATTCCCCTACAGCCTCTTGGAGGAACCAGCCCTGCTGATACCTTGACTTTAGCCCAGTAAGACTCATTTTGGACCTCTGGTCTCCAGAACGCAAGATAATGAATTCGTGTTTCTTTAAGTGACTAAGTACCTGTGTGGTAATTTGTTGTAGCAGCAAGAAGAAATGAATGTACCATGTCACTCTACATCTGGCTCCCCGGGCCGGCGCTGGCTCAACTATTACAACTTTAGCTGCTATCGGGAAACAGCCCTACATTTTAAAATAGTTCTTTAAAGTTCCAGTTTGGTCCCTCTGAACCTTTTAACCTTTGTTAAAAATAAAAACAGGGCTAATGCACCTAACTCTACCACTTTGCCAGGCTCAGAGTGCAGGTACCTTCTATTATTTGAAGGTTCCCAAAACCACTAGGGCAGATGAGCCCTAGTTATTGTCCCCATTGCTCAGATGAACAAACTAGGGCTCAGAGAGGGGAAATGGCATGCATAGGGCCACATACCTAGTGAGTAACAGAGCCAGGATTTGAACCAGGACTTCTGACTTCAGATTTACCACACTGAGGTTCCTATCTCACATTCTGCCTCCTCAGAGAAGCCTTCCTGGATAGCCTCAGCACATTCATTTACTCATTCATTCACCGAACAGTTGCTATGACTGCTTTATGCCCAGTGTGACGCTAGATAAGGCTGGGGACCAAGATCGGCCCGCAGGAGCTCAAAAGCTAGTGGACAAGACAGACACACAAATGAGCCATCCCAAACAGCCTGATAAATGCCAAGACAAAGAGGAGGAGATATAGCAGGTGATGGAAGCCCGAAAGAAAGGAAACTGATTGAGCCAGGGGTCAAGGAAGACTTCCTGGAGGAGGTGGTGATTGAGGGGAGGACAAGTAAGACTCAGCCAGAAGTGTGGGCAGGGGTTCCAGTGGAGGAATGGCTAAGCAGAGGCAGGGGGTACAATGTTGTAGCTTCTTGAGGGTGAGGAACGGGTTAGGTCAGACCCCAAAGTCCCTCTGAGCCTCTGCGTTCCTGTGTATGAACGGGAATCATGGGCAACTGCCCAGAGCTTGGGTAACTGCTGGGCCCAGGGGAGGGCTGAACAGGAAGAAGAGGGGTCCTGGGATTCCCAGAGGAGGGCTGAGGGTCAGGAAGGGTCAAAGGTAAGGGGACAGGGCAGGGTGGAGGGAGTTTGGGGAGGCAGGGTCCTGGCTCAAGCTCCCATTCTATGTCTGACTCATGGTATGACTATAGGAAGGTCCCCTTAGAGCCTCAGTGACTCCATCTGAGAAATGGAGCATGAGACAAAACTGTCTCCAAAGACCCTCCCCAGCCCTGACGGGGAAATGACATGACACAAAATTACAAAAGGGTCTTTATTTGTAAAAAGCCAAAGGGGCCCTTGGGGCGACAGGACAGGCAGGCCAGCTTCTCAGGGGTCAGGGGCATTTGGGCAGATGCGCTTGAGTGGGGGGGCGCCCTCCGAGTCCTCTGTGTCACCCTGGGCTGCCTCGGGGACAGGTGGCACTGGCTCAAAGACGGGGTAAGCTTCAGGGGCCTGGAGAGGAAGGGCGGACAGGCATGAGCTCCACCCAAACCCAGGAGTGCAGCCTCCTAGCCTCTGCCTTCTCCAATGCCTCCACTCCACTCCCCTCCTGGACCTAGGAGTCTGGTCGGGGACCCAGGAAGCAGATTAAGTAGGGCACCAGAAACAACAACAACACCGTTTTGGGAAAAGAAGGTGATACTTGGTATTTCTGGAAAATGCATCAAGGTAGTCCTTGTGGGAAAAGTCAGAAGTTGTAGGGGACTGACTCTCTTAAGCTAATTTGATAGTTTAGGACTAAAATAAAACAAAATACTTGGAGGAGCACCACGATCTTTTCAGGCTTTTAATGATCTTAAATCCGCCCCAATCCAGCCCACAGGACTTTGTCTTAAAACACCCTTTCCTTTTCCGTCCCAAGAACCCAGCCTCTGAGACTTGAGCTGTGCCTGAGGTCTACATTTCCTGCCTGGACCTCAGGAGTGCAGCCCCCTAGCCGTTAGCTGCCCCAGAGCCCCCACTGCCTTAGAGACCCGGGAGTCCAGCCTTCTGGCCTCTCTCACCTCAGCCTCCAGCAATTCTGGAACAGGCTCCTCCTTGGTCAGCATTGGGGGTTCATCAGTGCTGCCCGCGGTTATGCCCCCAGGATCTGGAACATCAAGTTAACAGACATGCCCTGAGCGGCTGCTCTGTGCCACAGCACAGGCCCAGGCTGGGGGACACTGAGGAGGGAACTGGGAACCTGGCAGCAAGCCAGGAAGAAGCCACAGGAAGGACGTGGAAGTGGGATCTTGACAGGTGAGTAGGATTTGATCAGGGAGACAAAGGGGGCACATTTTAGGCACACAGAACATATGTTCAGTGAGTACAGATTCTGGGACTGGACTCCCTGGGTTCAAATCCTGACCTTGGGCATGTGACTTAATTCCCCTGGGCCTCAGTTAACCCATCTGTAAAGTGGGGATAATGATAAATAATCACCACGCGAGACTGTGGTGAGGATGAAATGAGATGATACAGGTAAAGCCCTTAGTACAGTGTTTGGCCCATAGTAAGTGCTCAATAAAGGCCTGTTTTTTTTTTTTTTTTAAAGATTTTATTTATTTATTTGAGAGAGAATGAGAGAGAGCATGAGAGGGAGGAGGGTCAGAGGGAGAAGCAGACTCCCTGCTAAGCAGGGAGCCCGATGCGGGACTCGATCCCGGGACTCCAGGATCATGACCTGAGCCGAAGGCAGTCGCTTAACCAACTGAGCCACCCAGGCGCCCCCAGGCCTGTTGTTTTTATATTAGGAAAGGTACACCAGTGCGTGGCACCATCTGGACACAGCCCATAGGCCCAGGTCATGGTATTCTTGGAAAGGAACAACGAGACCAGCAGGGGTAGTTCACAAAGGGCCCAAAGTACCAAGTGGAGGAGTCAAAGGCCATAGGGAGCCATTGAAGGCTGTGAAGCACAAACATGAGCCTGCCAAATTTGTGCTTTAGACAAAATTGCTCTGGCAGCTGGTCGAGGTGACCAGGGGAGAGGAGACCTATAGGAGGCTGGAGCCGGGGGGGGGGGGGGGGTAAGAGATGACTCTTACAGGAAGGTAGACACATTTGGGAGGTAGTTCTGACCAGGCAGGGGATTGACTACATGGAACAAAGAGGAGCCGAGGAGGAATTATGCCCAAGATGCTGGTGCACTGGCTATGTGAGCTTGGGAGACTTAATTCTCTGGGTTTCAGCTTCTCATCCACGTATGAGGATCATAACCCTCGCAGGGTTATAGTGAGGATTAAATGAGCTAAAACATGTTCAGTGCTTAGAAGGAGATCTGGCACACAGAGCTCAATAAGTCTTAGCTGTTATTTTCACTTATTAATCACCCTCAGGAATATCACTATTATTTACTCCTCAACAAATATTTATTGAGCACATTCTATGTGTCCCATGTTGTTCTGAGCATTCAGTAATGAACAAGAGTAACGTGGGCCCAAGGTTCAGGAAGCTGACATGAGGTGGGAGCAGGGGAAGAAATCTGAGTAGTAAAAAATAAAATTTACATGAAAATCTCAGACGGTGATGAGTTATCTAAAGACCCAAAGAAGCCGGCCGAATGAGACAGCCAGTCACTGGAGGTAGGATGGTGACTTTCTGCAGGAGTCAGGGAAGGCCTCTGGGAGGGAAGAACACAGGAGGAGAGCACGTGCAGGTAGGGGTAAGCTGATGGCTTCAACTTTGCAGAAGACTCAGAGGACAGGGCTGCAGGGAGTCACCTAGTCCTACCTCTCTCTTGGCCCAGCCGTGGGGGCTGAGCATCCTCTGGGACCCCTTCTGGTGGTCCAGCAGGTGACACAGGGCGGCTGGGCTGGGGGGTGCCCCCAGGGCTGGGCTCGGTGCCCTTTTGCAGAGAGCCTTCCGAATGGAAACTCTGGTTACTGTTCTCATCTGTGGGAGCAAAAGCCAAGAGGTTTGGGCCTGAAGGTCTCAATCCCCTCCTTCAATCCCCCAGCCCACACCACCCCCCGAAATCCCAGGATCCCTACATACCATTGAGATCCAGCAGGATGAGAGGGCCACCCCCTCGGGGACTGGCGCCCCTGCCCCGTCGCTCCCGACCTCGGGATCTCTCTGCCCCGCCACCTGCCCTCCGTCGCTCCTGGGGGTTCGAGGGGTAAGGGTCAGGGACAGTTTTCCAGTTAGTGCTTGCAAAGCCCCCACTGTACAAATAAGGAAACCGAGGCACAGAGAAGCAAAAGGCCCTGCATGAGGTGACAGAGGCTGGCACCACACCATTGGGTTAGGTCTTGAACTCTGGGGTCTGAAGCAAGAAAAAGGGAGAAGGGGGTGGAGTTGCTAATAATTGTTAACATCTGTCTCGGCTGCGGCATTTGAGGTCTCACAGTGGGACTGGAGGTGGAGGCCAGTGTTGGGAGGGGCTCGCCTGGGGTCGCACAGATGAAAGGCTTGGTGTGGGAGAGTTTGCTCACCTCCTCCTGGGGGTCCACCACTGGCACCCACTTGAAGATACGAAGGGAAGTGTCGCCCACAGTCACCCAGCGCTTCTCCCTGTGGGAGGGTGGGGGGGACTGGGTCAGAGTTCTGAGGAGAGAACCCCCCCAGGAGCTGAACACATCTGGGGAGACCTGTCGAAGTGGGGGTGGTGCGGTTTTGCTAATGGGGCATATAGTTAGAAGGAGAAAGAGAGTCCTGCAGACCCCAGGCCATACACAGGGGTGCCTCTGGGGAGAGAGTACGGCTTGGGGCCATGGCTCTGCAGACCCCTGGGGTATACAAGGGAGCAAGGCTGAGGGCCCGGCAGGGAACCATAGCGAAGAAGATCCTGGGCATACTTGAAGGAGGAGTGTCAAAGCTTTAGGGGGCGGGGCCTAAATGAGCGTACGGCTTGGGAACACGCTTTGTAGACCCTAGGGTGTAACCAGAACGGGGACAGAGCCCTGCAGCTCCAGGGCGCAGCTGGGGGGCACACCTAACGCCTGGGGGCCACGGCTGGCGAAGGGAGGGTAGACGCATTTGGGAGAGAGTGGTCCCGCCAGGTCCCATCCCTGGCCCCCCGGGCAGCGCTCACCATCTCCGGACCTTCTCGATGGTCGCCATCACCTTCTTGATGTCATCCTTGGCCCGGCTCCGGGTCTCGGCCCGCACGGTCCGGCCGGCCATGCTGGCGGGACTGGGGCCGAGGCCGAGCCCGCGGCTGGGCCGCCTCCCGTCCGGCGGGCTCAGGCTCGGCGCCAGAGCCGGGCGCCGCTGTCTCGGCCTGCCGTCCCTCCGGGAGTTGGCCGCGCCCTCCCTCGCTCCCCAACGCCTCCGCGAGTCCCCGCCCCGTTTCCTGCTGCCGCGCCCCGCCCCGGCCCGTCCCCGGAGCGGCCCGGCGGCGCGGGCGGCCAGAGCCCTTGCCTGGAAGCCGGCCAGCCCCGCCCCGCCCGGGCCCGCCCCCTCGGGGCGCCCCGACGCGCAGCGCCCCCTACCCGCCGCCAAGAGGGAGGGTTGGGGACAGCTTGGCGCCAGGACTCGCGCGGCTGGGCTGAGGAGGTGCGTTCAGACCACGTGGGCACGGGGAGGGGGAGGGGGCGCGAGAGGGTCACTGTCCCGGCCCGCGTCCTCTGCGCGGGGGCGGGGGGCGGGGGGCGGCCCCGAATGCTGTGTGCAGGGTGTGTGTCCAGCCTCCCCTGGCTGTCACTCCCGCACTGTCCAGGTCTTCCTCCAGCCATTCATTCAGCGGTCTATTCACTGAGTGCCCATGACGGGCCAGACGCCGCAAATATGAGTAAGTCTCCACCCACCAGAATGGCTAAAATGAGAACGACAGACCATATCAAGTGGAGACAAAGAAGTAGAGTAACTAGACCTCTCATGTCTCTGGGGGAGTGGAAATGGGTAGAGACGCTTTGGAAAACTGGCAGTGTTCTAGAGAAGCTGAACTCACACGACCCAGCAATGCTACTCCTAGGTCATTAACAGCCAACAGAAGTGCGTGGGTATGAGCACCAAGAGATGTGTACTGGAATGTTCATAGCACTGTCCATAGCAGCCTCAAATTGGAAACAGCCCATCAAGAGCAGAGTGGAACTGAACTGTAGCCTGTTCATACAGTGCACAGAGCAGAGTGATGTCCTGCTACAGCCCACAACAGGGACATGTCTCATGAAAGAAATCAGATACAACAGTACACACTGTGTGATTCCTGTTACATGAAGTTCAAAAGAGACAACACTAATTTGTGGTGTGAGAAGTCAGGATAGTGGTCACCCTTGGGAGAGGCTACAAGGGAGCCCCTGGACGGCTCGTGTTCAGTTTCTTAATCTGGTGATCTGGTGCTGGTCCTCCGGCCCCCAGTATATTTACTTTGAATAGTCATCAAATTGCACACTTTTCCCTATGTATATTATACTTCAATTAAAAGTTTACGTAAAATGAGTGTGTTTTGGTTGAGTTTATTTGAATCTGTGTTTGCTGGCAGATATGACATGTGTTACTATGTGTGTTTCACGGGCTTGGCTCTTGGCCCTGCGTGTTTTGGTGTGATTATGTCCAGAGGGGTTAAGGTATAGGAGGGGGATTATGACCAAATTTCTGGAGCCAAACTGCCCCTGGGAAAATCCCAGCTCTTCTTGTCCAGTGACCTTGGACAACTCACTTATCTCTATTCCCTCAACTATAACATGAAAGTAAGTTAATATGTAACTCCTGGAACAATGCCTTGCACATAGTAAATGCCCAATACATATTCACCGTTAGTAGGTGTGTGATTGTGGTCCCTACCAACAACAGTCTGACTTCAACGGCATCTCCTATGCTCTCTGTCAGTTAATACCTTCCTTTATTCTGGCAGTTGTCTGCTCATGGTAATATCCTCATGGAAGGAACACAGGCCTCCTTCCCAGTCCCTTCACTCACAAACCCCATTACCTGCTGTTGGTTATGGTCGCCTCCATCAGACGGTGAGCTCCTCAGGGGGCCAGAGACCCAAGTATGGATGGTCTCTGGGTTCCAGAGACCAGGACAAGTAGGTGCTTGGCAATCACTTACTCGTATTAAGTGCGTGCAGACCTTTCATCGTTTATCTGCACCAGGTCAGTGGGGTTGACATGTCGGTATGACCCCCCTGTACCTGACTCTGAAGCTTGTTCCCGGGTGAGAATGAAGGTCTACATGCAGTAGATCAGAGGGGTTCTCGTACTGGGCCTGGTAAGGTGAAGTGAGCGGCTGTTGTCTACTCCCCGTCTAGTAGGTGTGCCGAGAGAGGGCAAGCAGAAAGTATCTAAGATAGGCCAGGAGGTATTTGTCTGGGCAGGTGTGGCCTAAGCCTGAGGGCCCTCAGAGAGGCCTCTCTCGCACCCAGCTTCCCCCTTCCCCCCCAGGCAGGAGGGAGGACCAGCACATTCCTGTCTTGCCCGCTCCACCCTCTCTTATCCACCGCGCCCCACTCCCAGCTTTCTCCGAAAAGAAGCTCGCTCACCAAGCCCTCGCCTGAGCCTCCTCCTCCCAGCGGTACCAGGGCTGCTTCCCAGGCCCCGGCACACCCAACCTCAAGGTTTTGAGCCCACCACGCAGACAACCTGCCAACCCCCCTCAGGCCCCTTTCCTGACTGGGCCGCGCAAGTAAGGAGCTGAGCTCAGAGCCAAGGAATCCAGCCTGGGGCGGGCGGCGGGGGTTGGGGGGGAATTGTTTGGGGTCTGAGCCCTGATTGGCTGCGCCTGGGCCACGCCCCTGGCCCTTTCCCCCTCTTCCCCCCCCTCGGAAGGGGGGCGTGTAGGCAACCGGGATCAGCCAGGGGCCAGCATGAGCCGGAGGGAGGGAAGTCTGGGTAAGGGGCTGAAGGGCTGGATGTCGAATGCCTGAGGGGAGCAGGGGTCAGAAGGGCTGGAAGCTGGGGTCTGGGTCCCCACCACCCCCGGGTCCGGGAAGGGAGCGGCCTGAGCTGGGGAGAGCAGGGCCCGGGTGTCAGGTAACGAGCGGGTGAGCTGTGGGTGAGCTGTGGGAAGGGACAAGCGCCAGAGTTTAGCGGAGGCCTGGGCTGTGACTTCAGGGACCTGGGCTCAGGGTTTAGATCACAGGTTCGAGTACACCCTGGGGGAGAGGACTGGGGTCGCAGCTGGGGCTGGACGCCTGAATCCTCTGAGTATTGACAAAGAATCAGAACTGGGGACCAGAGGGAGGGATAGAGTTAGGGAAGGAAGTCTTTGGGCCTCAGGAGCTAATGAGTGACAACAGGAGACGAAAGTCGAGGCTGTTAAGGATAGAGACAAGCGGTGGGAAACTCTGGCGCGGGGAAGGGGGGGCGGGGCGGGAGTTGCCGCGCCGGGACTACATTCCCCAGCATACCTTGGCACGTGCGCTGGCATCTCGGGAAATGTAGTCGTCCTTCCGGGGCTCCACCCCCTAGCTTGCGCTAGGAAAGGTTAGTCATTGATGCTGCAGGTGTCCAGTCCAGCGTCTTGCACAGACTGTCCATCAGTTTCCCAATCTGTAGAATGGGTTTAAAGGAGCATTTCGTTTTGAAGTTCTGTGCTTCAGTGATGTTAAATTTCACCAACAATCAGTGATGTACGGGGTTATATGAAATCTTCCCTCAAAGGGTTCCCAGGCTAAGGCCGGTTCACACAGATAAAAGAGCTGTTGAAAAAACAACCTTGGGAGTATGAACAAATGGCCTTAAGTAAAAGGAAAAGGTTAATTTAAGGAAGAGGAGAATCCGGACGCCACACTGAGGAGGCAATATTTGAATTTGGCTTTAATAGGATTAAACAGTGATTTGGGGTCAGGGAATACATTTCAGGTGGGACAACTGTTTGGCAAATGTCCGGTGCCTCGTTTACCATCAGTTGGAATGGGACAGAGGCTGCCTGGCTTAAAAGTTAGAGAATTCAGAGCAGAACTGTGGATTCAGGAAGGAAGAGCCAGCCTGGAAGCAGTAGTCAAGGAGCAGCGGTCTGGGCTGCCCTCATTCCTCCCCCCTTTTCCCACCAGAAGATCCACAGGCTGACTCCTCAGTCTCACCCCTTCCCCACTTGGAGGCCAAGATCCGTCAGACACACAGCCTTGCCCGCCTCCTCACCAAATATGCCGAGCAGCTGCTCCAGGAATATGTGAGTGGGAATGGGGGTGGGGGTGCCAGAGGCCTGAGGAACGGGGAAGTACAGATCACAGAGGTTCCTGACCACCCATTTTTCCGACCTCATTTCCCAGATACAGAAATTGGAGCAAACCGGAGGACTCTCCCTGTTTTCCAAATGCCCCTCTGTCTGCCTCAGCTTGGAGGTTCCCCCCACAGTGCATTAAGACAGAGGCTGAGGGGCGCCTGGGTGGCTCAGTCGTTAAGCGTCTGCCTTCGGCTCGGGTCTTGATCCCAGGGTCCTGGTCGAGCCCCGCATCCGGCTCCCTGCTCAGCGGGGAGCCTGCTTCTCCCTCTCCCGCTCCCCCTGTTTGTGTTCCCTCTCTGTCTCTCTCTCTCTCTGTCAAATAAATAAATAAAATCTTAAAAAAAAAAAAAAGACAGAGGCTGAGAGAGTGAAAAGAATTCTGATCTGGGAGTCAGGAAACCTAGGTTCCAGGCTCTCTGTGGTCTTGTCACCTCACCTCCAAGAGCCTTGGTCTCCCCAGCTATAAAAGGAGACAGTTTGACAAGATGAGTTGTGAACTCTTCTACCTATGCTATGCAGAGAGACCGAAAAGGGTTTCAATCTGGGGCAAAAATTCCAGCCCAAGAGGGGACTTTAACAGAGGAAGGGAATCTGCTATCTTTGGTTGGGCATAGGGCCCTGCCCAAGGAAGGAGGATATTTCCATCAGTTACTCTAGTGTAATGGAAGGAGGGTATAGGCCTGCTAACTTGCTGTGACCTTGGGCACTGATTGTAATATGAAAAAATAATGATGTAACAATTATGCAAGTGGGGTAATAGAAAGAACTAGCTTTGTAGTGCTATGAACTTGGGTTTCAAAATCCAGCTCTGTCCTTTCCTAGGTGGATGACCTAGGGCAAGTCAGTTTACCTCGTCAGCCTCCATATCCTCATTTGTAAAAATCATCATCATAATCATCATACCCATTTGGAAAGATTAGGAATAATGTATTTAAAGCAGCAAACAGTGCCTGAACCAGAGACAAGATGTTAGCAAAGGATAAATGGTATTGTTGTAGCCTTTTTACAAATTACAAATCTCCTTTAATTTCTTCGTTCATATAACAGTTATTCATTGAGCCCCTGCTGTGTGCCAGACGGGTGCAGAGGTGGTGGGGGATGCGGGGAGAGAGTGAAACAGACCAGGTTTCTGCAGTATCTGTGTGCTTCTCAGGCTGGGGAGCCGATCCCCCATTTTACAGATGAGAAGCCTGAGACTTAGAGAAGGGAAATGGTTTTGCATGAAACTGCACAGCTAGCAAGTGGTGGAGACTGGATCGGCACCCCGCTCTGTAGGATAGCATTAATAAAATCGCTGAGATTTATTGTGCCCCTTCCGTGGGCCAGGATTTGCCTGAACCATTTTAACATGCTCATAACTACTCTTACGAAGTTGATCCTGTTGTCTGCGTTTGAGAGACGAGGAAACAGGCGCTGGTGTAAAGCCCGCTTTGTGTGTGTGTATGTGTGTGTGTGTGTGTGTGTGTTGTAGTATCTCCAACGCAACAGCTGTGTTGGGAGGAATGCGTCATCTGCGAGGGGGTAAACTGAGGCCCTAGAGAGCGGAGGAGAGCGGGGAGTGGAGGCGTTCCGTCGCGCCTCGCGGGCCCCCCTTTCGCGCCCCCCGCCCCGCCCCGCCCCGCCCCGCCCCGCCCCTGACTGCCGTGTCTCCGCAGGTGCAGCACCAGGGAGAGCCCTTCGGGCTGCCGGGCTTCTCGCCCCCGCGGCTGCCGGTGGCCGGCCTGAGCGCCCCGGCAGCGGGCCACGCGGGCCTGCCCGCCCCCGAGCGGCTGCGGCTGGACGCGGCGGCGCTCAGCGCGCTGCCGCCGCTGCTCGACGTGGTGCGGCGCCACCAGGCCGAGCTGAACCCGCGCGCGCCGCGCCTGCTGCGGCGCCTGGAGGACGCGGCGCGCCAGGCCCGGGCCCTGGGCGCCGCGGTGGAGGCCGTGCTGGCCGCGCTGGGCGCCGAGACCCGCGGGCCCCCGGCCGAGCCGGCCGCCGCCGCTTCTGCCGCCGCCGCCGCCGCGGGCGTCTTCCCTGCCAAGGTGCTGGGGCTCCGCGTGTGCGGCCTCTACCGCGAGTGGGTGAGCCGAACCGAGGGCGACCTGGGCCAGCTGGTGCCCGGGGGCCCGGCCTGAGCGCGGGGCGCGGGGCCGCAGCTCGCTCGGCGTCCGTCTTCGTCTCTCAGTCGGGGCCTCGGGAGCTCCGACCGTCTGCGTCTCTCTCCTGCCTCTGTCGTCTCTCTTTGCTTTGTATGCTCTCCGCGCCTCCCTGCCGGACCTCCGTGTGTTCGTGACTTCCCGTGTCCATCCTTTCTTGCTTCGCCCCGCTTCTTCTCCACCGCTTGGGCCTGCCTCCGTCTCTCTTCGGTCTCCCCCTTCACCCGTCTCTGGGGGGCCTCTTTGTCTCCCCCTTTCTCCATCTCTTGGCTCTCCTTGGCCCCATGTGAGCATGTGTACCTCTCAGCCTCATCTCAAGGAGGGGACGCCTCATCAACTCTGGCCTTCCCTGGCCAGGGAGGTGCCTGCTAGCCCGGGTGGGAGGACCACCGCAGACAGATTGCAGCCACCTTCCCACAGCGTCACTCCCCCTGCTGCGCTCTCCCTCCCGCATCCCGGCCCTTTGGGTGGGCCCTGCTTGCTTCTCCCTTGGATGTCCTTCCCCTCCTTCACCTCCTCTGCTCTGTCCCTGCACCTCCCCTCTCCCCAAGCCAGGTCTATGGAGAGAAAAGATCAACAACACCTTAAAAGAGTTTATTTCTGAGAATAAATTAATTTTTTGTAAATAAAATGTTTAAAAATAAAAAGAACACTAGAGTTACCGGTATATATAGTTGTTGAAAATGGGGAGACACCTTTGAGGAGAATAGAATCCTTGGGGCACAGCCTGGTCCCCCAGACAGACCCAAAGGCCACAGTATAAATAGGAGAGTCACAAATGCCCCCAGGCCAGGGATAACATCAGTCACTCTAGAACAGGAAGTGGATGTGCCCCGAGCTGGAAACATCTACAGGAGTCTTCCTTACTTTTTTCAACTGGACTTCCATTGATCGGGAAGTGAAGTCCCTCAAGATGGAAAGTTGGAACAGTGGCCCTAGTCAGGGAGGTAGGCTAGGGGAGGCAATGAACTCCAGCAAGAAGGGAGGCCTCTCTGCTCAGAAAGCCCATAGCTTCCCACAGGAAGTGAGGTAGAGACAAGAAGGCAGCCCCTCGACCTCCCCAAACTTACAGGAAGAGGAAGGTCTCAGGGAGAGCCCAGGAAAGAGACCAGCTGTCCTCTCCCTGCAGAGTGGGAAGTAAAGCCTCTTCAAAAAGGCACTTCTTTCCACCCAGGATGTGGGCAGCCAGGACCACTGGCTTGAGACTCCACGAAATGATACCTGTAGAGTCCCACCCAGATCTGGAAGGGAGGCCATAGGACCTAGGCAGGAAAGGCCCAGGCAACAGGGACTTGGGGCCTGGTTCCTAGGAAATATTCCCAAATATACACGCCCTGTCGGCTAGACAAGACGTGTCTCCTTTCTAGCCAAGAAGCAAGGGAGAAAAGAGTCCATTGGGAAAGAAGTGTTGCAGCCTCTGACAGGATGTCCTGCCTCCTCTATCTGGGATATTTGGCCTTGAGCAGAGCCAAGTCCCTCACAGCTCGGTCTGTCCAGTGGCCATATTCCCGGGTCACTACATAGCCTCGACATTTCCTCTCAAAGGCTGAGGCTCCGAAGGGGACAGCGCCGAGAGTGTCCTCCTCTGGGGGGATGGGCAGGCCCAGAGCAGTCATGATTGCAGCCATGTTGCCCAGCAGGCCTTGGGCCCTGAGTCTTGCAGCCCCGAGCTGGGCCAGCAGCATAGGACTGCCAGGGTTCAGGTCTCTCTGGTCGTCCCCCACGAGCTGGAGGTGCTGGGTCAAGGCCAGGAAGGCCCCCTGGGCATGGCTCAGCCGCTCCCCATCATCCAGGGCATGCCAGGTCTTGAAGGAGACGACGGCAGGAGGCAGGCTGCTGAGCTGAAGCTCAGGGGCTGAGAAGCCAGGGTCACTGAAGGGGCTGCCCTGGTACTGGAGCTGCATGAGAGACAGAGACAGACGGGAGTGCAGGGACTAAAGTGGTCCCCCGGGGCTCCCCCGATTTCACATCTGACATCTTCCCAGGGGAAGTTGGTGGGCATCTCCTAGCACAGAGCCTCGCAGTTTCATGTACAAGTTGTACAACTTTGAATCGCAGCTTCAGTAATTGCCAGTCGTCAGTATTCTCGTGCAAATGATAAGTAATATATAGAAAGCACTTAGCACAGCTCCTGGCGTACAATAAGGGCGTAATAAGCCACTGTTTATAATATCTTAATATCATGACACTGTGATTATATTATTTATTATACTATTTTCAGTCTAAATAATTGACAATGTAGTTAGAGTCTATATGGTTCTTTCTTATTCATAGCATTTAGTTGTTTGTGCTTATTTTATTAGAATCATTAATAAATAATTGTTAACATTATTAAATTTAGTTGAGTGCCTTCTCCATTAAAGTTCTCGCCTCCACAAACCTAGACCCACTGAATCTTGGTGCATACTGATAAATCCCCAAATTGATAGACCTCCTAGTCCTACATCCCTAGTTCACAGGTGAAGAAACTGAGGCTTAGGGTGCCCAAAGCTACCCAGGGAATGGTGGCAACTATGGGACTAGAAACTAGATTTAGTAACTTCACATGGACCTGGAATATAGTACAGTAAGAGGAGTCACAAACCCTGGCTAGGGGCCAGGCGGATCGTGTAACTTGGGGAAGAAGGCAGAACTCAGATGGGGTGAGGGGCTAGGAGGGCCCCTGTGCCTGGTTGAGACAGGCAGCCACGTTCAAAATTTGAACAAGTATTTCATGGCCCGAACAGAAAACATCTGTGGGTCAGATTCAGCCAGGAGACTGCTAGTTTGAGCTTCTAGACGGGGGGGGGGGGGGGGGGGGGGGGGGGGGGGGGGGGGGGGGGGGGGTCTGATGCCACAGACCTGGCTTAAGATCCTGGCACTGCCAGTGATTTAGCTGTGTGACCTTGAGCAAATTATTCACCCTCTCTGAGACTCAGTTTCCTTATCTGATTATAATTCCGTCCCTCAGAACTGTTTGAGGAGTCAGCGAGATAATGGGGATGGGTGCCCAGCATAGCATAGGGCTCACGTGAGCACCCAGCACGAGGGGGTTGTGGAAATAATCACGACCCTGTAAAGTCTTTCTTTGTTTGTGCTCCCTTTGAGTCTTTTAAGAGTCCTGCAAGGTGAGCAAAAGCAGGATCACAATTCCATTTTGCAGATGAGGGAGCTGAGACGGAGAGAGAGAGAAGGAACGACTAGCCCTGGGTCGCCAGCTATCAGTGACACTGTCCGAGCGAGTCTCTAGTTGACAGAGCCCCGGAAGCCTCAGACTCACGGAGGGGACCTTCTCCTGGCCTTGCTCTGCTTCTGCTACCCAGGGCTGGGCCAGGAGGGCAGTGTCCCGCTGCCCTCGTCCCCTGCTTGTGCCCAGTGTCACTCACATAAGTCTGAAGCAGCGTTGATGTATTCCTCTGCATGTAGAGGGCCAGGCTGTAGGCTTGACTAATGGGCTCAGCTGGGGAGATGGGGGCCCCCGGACTGAGGGGTGACAGCAGCAGGGGCAGCAGGCAGAGCTGAGCTGGTGGAGGAAATCAAAGGTCGGCATCCACTCGGACCCCGAGCCCGCCTGCTGGTTCATTCGTTCTGTGTCACAGCTCCTCAAAGCGGCATAGCCCTTGAGGCCTGCAACAATTTTGTGGATCCAAGTCGGGGCAGCAGCACCGTGTAAGATTATTTCCAGCCCAGAACGTTCCCCTGAACCCCAGACCCGATGTATTCAACTTCCTGCTTGACATTCTTGGATATCAGTAAGCATCTCCACTCGAAGTATCCAATCCTCAGCTCTGGGGTCCCCTTCCACCCTCCTCCCCCAGCCTTCCCCACCTCAGGCAAGGGGGCTTCCATTCTTGCCTTTGCTCAAGTCAAAAGCTGGGGTCCTCTTTGGTGCCTCATTTTCTCTGGCTCTCCACATCCACCCCCACAGTAAATCCTGTCGGCTCTGTCCTAAAAACGTAGTCAGCCAGGCTCTGTGTTTCTTGATCTGAGCGCTCATGACAAGGATATGATCACTTTGTGAAAATTCATTGAGCTGTACACTTCATGAGTCGTGTACTTTTCTTTTTTTTTTTTTTTTTAGATTTTATTTATTTATTCATGAGAGACAGAGAGAGAGAGAGAAGCAGGCTCCCAAGGAGCAGGGAGCCCGATGTGGGACTCGATCCCAGGACCCTGGGATCATGACCTGAGCTGAAGGCAGATGCTTAACCATCTGAGCCACCCAGGCGCCCGAGTCGTGTACTTTTCTGTTTGTTCTTTTCTTTTCTTTTCTTTTTTTAAAGATTTTATTTATTTATTTGAGAGAGAGAGAATGAGAGAGCATGAGAGGGGTGAGGGTCAGAGGGAGAAGCAGACTCCCTGCCGAGCAGGGAGCCTGATGCGGGACTCGATCCCGGGACTCCGGGATCGTGACCTGAGCCGAAGGCAGTCGCTTAACCAACTGAGCCACCCAGGCGCCCTCTGTTTGTTCTTTTCAATAAAAAGTTTTAAAAGTTGAGGGGCACCTGGGTGGCTTAGTCGTTAAGCGTCTGCCTTCGGCTCGGGTCATGATCCCAGAGTCCTGGGATCAAGCCCCGCATCGGGCTCCCTGCTCCGCAGGAAGCCTGCTTCTCCCTCTCCCACTCCCCCTGCTTGTGTTCCCTCTCTCGCTGTGTCTCTCTCTGTCAAATAAATAAATAAAATCTTAAAAAAAAAAAGTTTTAAAAGTTGAAAAGATGCATCCAGAATCTATCCACTTTCCCCCTCCTTCCGTTGCCACCCCCCTGCGTCCCAGCCACCAGACCTTCTCCCTGGACTCTTAGAACCAGCAGTCTCCCCCACCCCCGTCTCTGCTTCGACCTTTGCTGCCCTCCCCCCAACAGCCCCCCAGTTCAACTAGATCCCTCCTGTGCCTGAACCCTCCCTCTGCTCGCACCTCACACAGTGGAAGTGTGTAAACCAAAGCCCTCCTGCGGCCTACAAGGCCTGGCCCCTCTGTACTGTCCTCCCATCCCATTCCCCCTCAGGCCTTCCTGGGCCCCGCCGTGGCCACCCCCAAACCTTCCCAACCCTGGCTCCTTCTTGTTCTTCAGGCCTCAACTCAGATAAGCTGTCCTGACCAGATATCAAAAGCCCCCTCCCCCTCCCCGATTTATTTCTTCTTTCTTTTTTTTTTTTTTTTAAGATTTTATTTATTTGCCAGAGAGAGAGAGAGTGTGAGAGCACAAGCAGGGGGAGCGGCAGGCCGAGGGAGAGGGAGAAGCAGGCTTCCCGCTGAGCAGGGAGCCCGCAAGGGGCTTGATCCCAGGACCCTGAGATCACGACCTAAGGCGAAGGCAGATGCTTAACTGACTGAGCCACCCAGGCGTCCCCCTCTCCCTGATTTATAGTCTTCAGAGACTTGCTATTTCATTATTTATTTATTTGTCTGCTTGTTTGTTACTGTCTCTGCCCCTAGAATCTTGTCTCCAGGAAAGAGGAAACCTCCCCTGATTCATTTGCTGCTGGTTCCCCAGCACCTAGCACAGAGCTTAATAAATATTTGTTGAATGACTGAATGCTGCTATGAACATCCTTATCCCAGACTCTTTGGGCACTTTTGAAAGTGGGAATAAGGGGTGCCTGGGTGGCTCAGTCGTTAAACTTCTGCCTTCAGCTCGGGTCATGATCCCAGGGGCCCGAATGGGGCTCTCTGCTCAGTGGGAAGCCTGTTTCTCCTTCTCTTACTCCCCCTGCTTGTGTTCCCTCTCTCACTGTGTCTCTCTCTGTCAAATAAATAAAATCTTTATCAAAAAAAAGAAAGAAAGAAGGAAAAAAGAAAGAAAAAAAGAAAAAGAAAGGAAAGAAAGAAAAGAAAGAAGGAAGGAAGGAAGAAAGAAAGAAAGAAAGAAAGGAAGAAAAAGAGAGAGAAAGAAGGAATATCTGGATTGGAGGGTGTGCTCATTTTAAATTTGAGTAAAAGCTGCGAATTGTCCCCTTACAGCTCAGGCCCAGTTATGGTCCCAGCTGAGGCTCAGCGGGGGTGGAGGGGGGGAGAGATTGCCTAAGGTCACCAGCGGGAAGCAATGGCGATGAGAGGCAAATTGGGATGGCCTCCTTTGTTCCCCTTTCTACATTCCTGAGTTCCCTAAGTTCAGAACTTAAGGGAAGGCTGAAAGTGAAGGCCCATTCATTCATTCATTCATTCATTCAAAAAATTGGCTCACTGCACTCACCTTATATCAAACTGGCATTATAATTTACGTACTTTTTTTTTTTTTTTTAAGATTTTATTTACTGGGGGCGCCTGGGTGGCTCTGTCGTTAAGCGTCTGCCTTCGGCTGAGGTCGTGACCCCAGGGTCCTGGGATGGAGCCCCACATCGGGCTCCCTGCTCGGCGGGGAGCCTGCTTCTCCCTCTCCCACTCCCCCTGCTTGTGTTCCCTCTCTCGCTGTGTCTCTCTCTGTCAAATAAACAGAGAGAGGGAGAGAGAGAGAGGGAGAGAGAGAGAGTATGAGAGGGAGCAGGGTCAGAGATCATGACCTGAGATCATGACCTGAGCCGAAGGCGCTTAACCGACTGAGCCACCCAGACTAATTTACTTACTTATGACGATGATGTGTATCGTCTGTCTGCAGAATGAAATCTCCATGAGACCATAGCTTTTTGTCTGTTTGTTCACTGCTGTATCCCCAAATGCTTGGAAAACTACCTAGCACATAATAGGCACTCAGTAATTCTTCTTGAATGAATGAATGAGTGATGAACGAAGCCTTCTGTGTGTAAGGATTTGGAGGTTCCTAGCAAGCAAAGACAGCCAGGTACCTGAGTCCTAAGGGCCAGAGAGCCCAGAGAGTACCCCTCCCCTCCTGGTCTCTAGGCCCTGGCGCTCCATCGGCCCCCCCACACTCACCTAGCGGATAGCTCATGTTCTCTCCTTGGCTCCTTCCTCTCTCCAGTCTCTGGGTTTTTCTGGGGCACCTGTCCTCCTGCCCCTCAGGTGGCTTTATACCTGGGCTGAGCGCTGAGGCCGCCCAAGAGGGAGGGAAGGAGTCACACCCTAGGGCGGGTGTGGGGGGGGCCCAGGTGCAGAAGCCCCAGAAGCAAGGGACAGGCAGGGAAGGGGACACTGAGGTGACACCCTAGTCCCCTACAGTCCCCAAACTCGACCTTAAACCCTGGTTGCTGGGAGGGAGGGTCAAAGGCGGGAGGGGATTATCGGGGGACAAAGGGGCCGCCCTGCTCCCTGCTGCTCCGCACGTCCAGGGATCCAGTTTCTCCTGAGGAGGCCGCCTCCTGCTCCGCCCCGCTGGGACCCAGGCCTTGGGCCCTGGCTTCCGAGGAGTTTGGAAAAGGGGTGGGAGTGGTGGCATGTGAGCAATATCACCCACGCCGAGGTACACGCTTAGACACAGGAGCGCGCGCACGTCTACACACACACACACCACACGTTGGCACACGGGCCCACACCAGACATGTGAGCGCACTCATGTTCATTCATTTAAATAGTATCGACACCTACTGTGTGCTTGTCCCTGTTCCAGGTGCTGGGATAGAACAAAGAACAAGTCAGACAAAATTCCCTGCCCTCGGGGCGCCTGGGTGGCTCAGTTGTCAAGCCTCTGCCTTCGGCTCGGGTCATGATCCCAGAGGGATCACGGGTGTGGCTATGTGCACACAGGTCTGCATGTACCCACGTGGACACGTTTGCACCCTCCTTCTGTAGCATGTGTAGGCCCGGCAGGGTGCGTGTGGTTCCGTAGACGCGGAGGCCACGTCCACTAGAGCATCAGCTCCATGAGGGCAGGGTTTTGTTTTGTTTTTTTAAAGATTTTATTTATTTAT